GCTCGATCTTCTTACACTCCAGGTTCGTCTGAGCCGCGTTTGGCCGCTCAGTTGGATGTTGCTAATGCTGAGATTGCGCAGCTAAGGACGGAACAAGCGGAGCTAAGGAACACCAACAGCTACGTTGTGTCTCAATTAGGGACATTAACCAATCTCTTTGACATCATTGCGGTGGATAACCCGGCATTAGCAACTGCCTTGCAAAGCATGCCGCTTCCTCCACCGCCTCCTCCACCTACCGGTCCAACGGAGTTCGAGGAAGAATCCGAAGAGATGATTTGAGAAGATACCATCAACTTAAGGACCCAACATCAGTAGATTAACGTTTTTATTTCATTTGTATCGGATATTTAAATTTGCGTTTGTATTTTTTTTAAATTATTTTTAATTTTTATAATATTTTAGAATATTTTTTTAATAATATATATTTTTTTAAATAAATTCAATCATACCGATGCTAAATCGATGCAATAGTGATGCTAATTAGCGTCGACTTACTATGCTTTCCGTCGCTAATTTAGCGTCGAATTAGCGGCGAAACGTTGCATCGGAACTATGTCGATGCTAATTCGATGCTAAAGTAGTGTCGTATTAGCGTCGAATCTTTGCATCGTATATGCGTAGATGCTAATTCGATGCTAATATTGCATCAGATTAGCGTCGAATAATCGATGCTAATTTAGCATCGAATTAGCGTCGAAATTCAGTACGACGCAAAATTAGCGTCGAAAAAGATTTAGCGTCGACGATTTAGCGTCGAAATGTAATTCGATGCTAATTCAACGCTAAAGGCCTTTAGCGTCGAATTCACGTCGAATTTTGTCGACGCTAAAACCGTGTTTTCTTGTAGTGAATGATATATTTCTTTGAAACACTAAAACCTAAGTATGGATCTACTCAGACATGGATATAGAGAAAACACAAAGAGATGAAGAAAACCCATAATCATATAATAAAAAATCCAAGAGTGTTCAAAATTTTTATCAGCGATGTAGAGTAAGAGATTTGTCTCCCTAGAGCTTACAAATTACCAAAGCCAAAATTTGATAAAAATAAAGTCTACTTTTCTAAAGTGGCTAAAAACGTGTATTTATTCTAAGGTCATTCATTAGGTCATATAGGGTAAAACCAGATCATAAAAAGAAATATGCTCAAAATTGCCGAAATTGCTGAAAATTGCCACACGGACTGGACCGGTCGGTCTAGTTCTCTTAGATTTGACTGTTCGCCATACAGATTGATCTTCACAAAAACTAGCATAACTTTATGACCGTTGATCAGAATGCCTTCAAACTTCCTTCAAACAAAATTTAATCCAAGTGGCTATCTTTTGTCCAAAGTTCATTTCAATTGAATAAGGCTAAGGCTTCCAACGGTTGGTTGAAATTTGATGCTCCAGAGCTGTCCCATATCTAATTTCCTTGACTTTTATCAAATTGACCTGTAAAAAACTCTAAACCCTTTAAACACACAAAAACTACCACTTAAGATAAAAGATCTCAAAAACCCATTAGATATAGTGATAAAACCTTATTAAAAGCTGTAAAAATAAGGATACATCAAGCACGGAGCCCGAGCGTAATGATTTAATCTAGGCGGGGTGTTGGGGAAGAACCTAGGCGCCTCTTTGACATTTCGTCAATACATGTGGCCCAGAGCGTGCCGCCTATCGAAATGGAAAGACGGATTGATTTAAGATCTAGGTAAAGTCCGCTTTTTTAACACACTTCGTATATTTTTCTCTTGCGCCGATCATTGAACTGTGGGAGGCCTGATTGATGGTACCGGGTTTGGCATCCATCATCATGACCCGACCCAGATCCTACTCGATTCGGAGCTTCGCTAGGAGAGCATATAAGCTAGGCCCACGAAGACGAATTTGGCTCAGCGGACGAGCTAGGTCCAGGCCCACGATGTCCAGCCGACCTAGCGTGCCCCGAGTACAAAGGAAAAGATTAACTCAAAGAATGGAATATCACTTCTCTTTAGGGTTTATGCAACCGACTTTATATTTGTATATACAATGTAATTCTCTTTGCAAGGGATCCGCAACTTTAATCAATACAACAACATGTTGCTTATTCTTTTCATCGTTTTTAATATCCTCAAGTTTTTATTTAGAAAACCTAATTCCTCAATTGTTTGAAAAAATCCGAATAGCTTAGGCAATCTGGATTCACCAGTTATAACATATGGTATTGATGTAGGAGATATTTTCCTTTATTTTTCTTATTTTGGATTTTTAAGTGTTTTTTCTTTTTCTTTTGGGTTTTGTTATTTTCTTGGGGTTTTGTTTTGCTATCAAAACACTTTTACCTTGTAGCCAAGAGGGATATCATATATCTTATTTTTCTTAATAAAAAGTTTGAGAGCTTTTCTCTTTTGGTGGATTCCAAAACCCTATTCTGGTGGATTCTAGAGTTTTATCTTTCAAATTCATCGCTTGTGAACTTGATTTTGATCTAGGTTTAGCGCTTGCTTTTCCTAAGATTTTTCGACTGCGTCAAGTGGTATCAGAGTAGGCTTTCTCCTGTCTCTTTTCGAAACTTGATAATGGGAGATCAACCAGCTACCAAAGCTGATACTGAGGGTTTCACTCCGGCTTTAACCTCTTTGAGCGATCAGATGGCTAATCTAGTGACTGCCAATCATATACTAGTAACTAAGATCAGAAACGCCTATATCAACAACCAACAAAGAGTTAGGGGAAAAAATCCAATTAGGGTTCAACATGGTGAAAATAATAGTGTTGCAACTGATTTGACCAATCGTATGAGGATCTTAACGAATCAGATTAACAACCCCAATGAAAACCAGCAAAGAGACAAAGGAGGAGAATCAACTAGGGTTCTAAAGAATGAAGACGGTAATGTTGTCACTGTTGCAGCCTACCAACTATAGTCCATTCATGATAGATGTGGCTCTTTATGTAGAAAAGAACTTGAAGTGCAACAAACTACAACCTAGCAACTATGGTTGCCCATTCAAGGTAGATGTGATTCGTTATCCAGAAAAGGACGCGAGGTTGAGTCTTCGAAAGTGGAGGAGCAGTGTAGGAGATATTATCCTTTATTTCTCAATTTTTTCTGATTTTAGATTTTTATGTGCTTTTCTTTTTTCTTTTGGGTTTTGGTTATTTTCTTAGGTTTTTGTTTTGCTATTTAAACACTTTACCTTGTAGCAAAGAGAGATATCATATATCTTATTTTTCTTAATAAAAAGTTTGAGAGCTTTTCTCTTTTGGTGGATTCCAAAACCCTATTTTGGTGGATTCCAGATTTTTTTCTTTCAAATTCATCGCTTGTGAACTTGATTTCGATCTAGTTTAGCGTTTGTTTTTCCTAGGGTTTTCCGACTGCGTCAGGCATTGTGATTGCTCAACCTCAATAGCTCCCAGCAAAAATTGCCAGACTAGGTGTGCATAGAAGATTGTCAAGGTAGCATCTAGTAAGATGTAAATGACAGCCACTTGTTTAAATTCAGCTGCTCTTTCCATGACTTGTATTTTTATTGCTTATATACATATGAATATTAGTGATTTAGAGAATGAGAGTGAACAGCAACCGCATTCCGATTAGTATCTGACTTTTTCATTACATGCTCTATAATTTTCTCACTAACCTATCAAATAAATTGAGAAAAATAAATTTGAATTGGGAAGCTAAAATAATATTGTGAGAGAATTAACAGGAATATAATCTAGAAGTAAAACAAAAATCAATAAGAAAGTTGGATCATGGATACAACTACTGCAAGAATAATTTATAAAGGAAGCATTGGAAGCTAGGAGTGAAGCGGTGAGTGAATCTTGTGACTGTTTCTGCTGTCACTGTTTAAC